GAGAATATCCTATAGCTGCATTTCCTACATATGGTACTCAGAAGCCATATGTAGCTATTAGGCATTTGAAAAGTGACTACTGTGAATTTTAGATTTCATTTCACTTTTATTACTTAAATAAAAATGGAAATAACCACATGGCTAGTATCTACTGTATTAAATATTGCAACTCTAGATATTTTGGGAGTGCATTTTTGGGACTAGCCAGCCTAAGCAGAATAAAGATGCATGGAAAGAGAAATGTACAGAACCATCTCAGTATATTGTTGTTAAGTGCTGCCCAGTTGGTTCCAGCACTTAACTGTATAGAGTTTCCAAGGAAACTCTATACAGTTGACCTTGCAGTTCAAATCAACCTTGTGGTTGAGTGTTTATCCTATAGTGCCACACCAAGATGGCCCCTGGAAATTCTTTATTTGTTCATGTATTGCATATAATTGGTGTCTTTTATTCATAGGCCCTGGTGTAGTGCTATAAACACTGGACTGCTAACTGCAAGGTTGGTGGTTTGACCCACCAGCCATTCCTCGGAAACCTTATACAGGGTTGCTATGAGTTGGAACCAACTCCACAGTACTTAACAACAATGACATCCAGGTCAAGAAGTCCTGGTGGTACAATGGATTAAGCACTGGGTTGTTAACTAGTTGTCAGTTCAAACCCATCAGCCTCTTCAAGGGAGAAAAATGAAACCGCTCCCATAAAGATTTATATTCTCAGAAACCCTAAGGAACAGTTTTACTCTGTTCTCTAGGGCTCCTATGAGTTGGCATTGACTCAATTTATCCATAGGTATGTCCTCAGGTGCTAGGGTTATAGGAAGAATTAAGCGTGGATTTTGCCTACAAGAAACTCACAGTTTAGTAGGAGATCACAGACAAATGATTTCACCAGAGCCAGGAAAATATATGTACAGTTGATGAGGGTTCAGTTCACATGTCTCCAAGCCACTTGAACAGTCAGGGAGGACTTCCCAGGACATCTTAAGACCTGAGCTGGGTCTTGATATTATTGTGGGGGCTCAACTGAGATTTATTTTATTTATAACAACCAATTATACTTCAGGTCTACTACTGGCAGAGGTGGTCACCAAGGAAACATGGCCCTAGGGAAAACTTATAGCTAGGGTCAGTGTGTTTTCTTTGTGTCTTTTTATGTTGTCTAACTAAACTTCCTTCCATGGTCATAGTCTTTGTCACCTGAGGACATTTTTGGATGAAATACATAATCTTATTGTTTTATTAGCAGCTGTTAACCTTGAGTGATTTTTTTGGGGGGTCAGATGAACTCTGCTACTTACAAAAGTGACATCAACACCCATTTTGTTTTGGTTGTGAAATTCTGACACTTGGTATAAAGGGACAGCTGCATTAGTATGGCCATATGTAAAGAAGCTACTGCTGATTGGATGAGCTGCTGAAATTAGCTGGTGCTAATAGTGATGCAAAGGAGCTCTGGTAGCCTAGTGGTTATGAATCGGGCTGTGAACCGCAAGGTCAGCAGTTCAAAACTACCAGCTGTTCCGTGGGAGAAAGATGAGGCTTTCTGCTCCCGTAAGGATTTACTGCCTCGGAAACCCTGTACAGGGTCACTATGAGTCGGAACTGACTCCACGGTACACAACAACAGCAGTAATGCAAATCCACGGAAAGGGTTGTCATGATCACTTCTAGAGAAGTGGGATGTCATGCACATTTATATATTTTACACAATAGCTCATTGCCAAAGAGTCGATTCCAACTCTTAGAAGCCTTGTATAGGGTTTCTGAGACTGTAAATCATTATGGGAGCAGAAACCTTCATCTTTCCCCCGAGGAGCAGCTGGTGTATTTTAACTGCCAACTTTGTGGCTGACAGTCCAGTGCTTATCCTGCAATGCCACCAGGGCTCCTTTATTTTACACAAGTTTGTATAAAGGTTAATATGTGACCATATCTAGCCAGAGAATTCTGCAGCTGACACTTGCTCATACAAAAGTGCTGTTGTTGTTAAAAGTACTGTTGAGTTGGTTCTCATTCATAGTAACCCTGTATGGGGTTTCTGAGGAGTGGCTGGTGGGTTTGAACCATCTAACATACTGTTAGCAGTGCTGTGTTTATTAGGACTCCATAAAAATAGGTGCAACTTTATACTGTATAGTTTCCGAAATGACACTTGGGTATATAAAGTAGAATAACACATGTGGTTCCTTTTCCCATAATAAGGTCAGGAGGGTGCTCACACCATTGTGTGAGGCCCAGGCCTATTTGAGTCCCCAGATGGAAGCTGGCTTGACTTATGGTGGTGTTGTCTCTGGCGGATGTAAGTGTAAACTGGTGTAGCCATTTCAAAAAGTGGTTTGCCCCACGTATCAGGAGCTTTAAAACATTCGTGCCCTTTGGCTCAGTGATTCCACTTCTGGGAATGTATCCAAAGGAAGTAATTGGAAAAGTGTGCAGTAAAGACTTTGCCCAGAGATGTTATTGCAGAGTTGCTAAGACTGGAAACAACTTAAATGACTAACAGTGTAATAATATACTACCATGAAAATGATGTTCATGAAAGACTTTTGCTACAACACTAATTAAGAAAAAAGCAGAGACATAACAACTAGAGAGGTTAGGCAACCACACTTAGGAGTTCAATGACCTGGCTTTGAATCCTGACTCTGCCACTTACTAGCTGTGTGACTTGTGCAAGTCACCAGCACTCTCTCCGCAACCCCCGAAAAACTGGGGTTGATAATGGGGAACTGTGAGAACTAAATGAGATACTGAATATAAAATGTTTATGACAGTGCGACACATGTTTATTAGGATCCCAATAAATGGCTGCTCTCTATGGACTGCGTGGCTTCAAGGCATAAAAACAGATGGAAAGGAAAGTTGCCAATTTATGAACACTGTAGTGTCTGGGTGGTGGGATGTGTTTGGCTCTTTGCACTTCTCAACTTCTCAAATTTTATGCAATGAGCATGAATCACTTTTATACTAGAGAGTATATCAGAATGATGTATGTAAAACAGTAGGCACCTTACCACCACAGAACGGTAGTTCCCTTCCCTCTTCCTTCTCTCTTTGCAGGGAGGGGGAGGAGCTGGGGGGCCAACCTCATGGCAGACTGACTGCTTCCGTCCCCATGGAGGAACATGAGAGGGAAGGGCTGCTGCTTTCTGGCTTCATCCCCTGCACAGCCATCGGGACCTCTGGGGGTGTCAGTGTTGCCAGCTCTGCAGCCACCTGTTGATGGTGCTCTGCTGGTGGAGGTGGGAGACTGAAATAGATTACCTCAGTAGTTCAGCAGTTTCTTCCATCTCTGAAAATCCAGATTTCAAGAAGCTCTGGGGCTTATCATTCTTTCCCTCCCCTGACACCAATGTCTTGGTTGAACTGAACCAAACGCTGCCATAAAATTGTGAGGTGGCACAGACATCCATCCGAGAAAAGCAGCAGCAATATCGCCTATAGTGCTGCATGTAAACATTAAGGGTGGTTGGCAAAGAAAAGACTCAGCTTGGGCAAAACAGGGAAGTTAGCTTAGTTGCAGCCGTTTTCTTTAACGAGAGTAATTTATATTCCAATGTAATCTCTGGCAAACACAGCTCTTTTTAACACGACAAACAGTGAAGCAGTTTCCTACATTAGAACATCTCTGGGATGAGAGGGATACAAGGTTGTGTGTGAGTGTGTGTGTGCTCGAGAGCGTGCGCACGCGCATGTATTCCTTTAAACCTCCACATTTGCTTCTATGATCTAATGCTCTTCAATGATAACAGGATTGCCCTGTGCTCCAGCAAGTTGCCTCTGAAGGTTGTATTTTACCGACAGAATCCCAGACACAAGAACAACGAAGCCATTTCCCTTATCCGAACCCAAGGGCAGTTTCCAGTCCTTCTTTTTGACAGCCTCCCTCTCACCATTGACTCCCCTGCGATCCACATCGCCAGACTCAAAGTACCTTCCCCAAATCCCTCAAGTGAATTAATGACAAACAGCTTTCCATAGCCCTTATCCAGACAGAGAGGTCATCGTATGCTAATGAAATCCGGGGTGAGAGCCTCGCAGTGTTTGCGAGCGCGCTCGCTGGTTCTCAGCGCTCCCGCGCGCCACTGCGGCGCAGCCACAAATCACCGCACGCTGCCGCAGACCCTCCCGCCTCGGGAGCGGCGGCGGGGTGAGTCTTGTCCGCCCCTCTTACAACCGTAGCTAGATCGTTCACATCTGGGAGAGAGCTGCTAGCCCGGATCCCATGCTTGTCTCCACTACAGCGATGGGGGAGGGAAGGCATTTCAGAATCACCTGTAGGGGTTTTTCGAACTCCGCCGCCCCTTACCCAAATTCTAGTCTACTCATCCCGAGTGAGCACATCTCAGAGTACGCAGGGTTAGGTGGACCGGCAGAGTTTGGGAAAGCCCACAGGTGAATGTAGATACGCGCACCTCAAGATACAAACAGGCACGAACTCAAATCTTGTGACTGAGACTAAACAGGTCAGCCTTAGATTCGCTCCCGGGTTCTCCCCCTCCATCTCTATTTCACATTTGCGAAGATGTCCTTTCTCAGCTTCCTTTAATCTCCCCAGCCCACGGGTTTTGTGGAGTGCGCCAAACTCCTGGAATCCCGCGGGACCATCAGAGGCTCTGCCTGCCAGATATTAGGGAAATCGTGCTCCACTCCTCATTGCCCTCGTGAGACCTGGAGCGTGAACTGGACACCAAGGAGCGAAGTTAAGATCAGAAGGGGAGAAATGGGACTAGTTGCTTCAGCAAACTGCCCGAGCAGGGTGACCACCCGCCTGTACACCTTTGGGGCTTGGGAGGGCCTCCTAGTTGCAGAGTGAGCTGGCTTCCCACCTCGCTCCTCTCTGGGCGTCTGCACCCTTCGAACAGTGGACCTCCTCCTGCAGGGACTTTGCGGCAGATGGCACCTCAGGATGGATCTAGTAGCCTCGGCTGCAGCCCTCTCCTTGGCCACGGGACAGGCTCCGGCTTGAAACCACCTCCGCTGCGCCAGCCTCCTTACCTCACCATGCAACACTTGGTTGCGCGGCTTTCCGGAGCGCTTCTTCCTCGGTGCTTATTCCCTTACTTGGGAGGAAAGACTGAACCGGGACCGAAATGAGTATCTGGGCTCCTTCCAGCCCGCTCACCCTCTCCGGGAGGAGGAGAGCAGTCCGATGGAGCCACGGAGTTCGGGCGGCCCAGCTGGAGATAGGCAGCGTCGGGGTCCTCAGCCCGTTGGGGATTCGCAGCTCAAAAGCAGCCTGGCTTCGCTGCCCGTTACTACGGCACTGCGGCTCTGCGCCCTACCCCTCGCAGCTTGGCAAGTCCAGCTGCCACTCTCACGGCAGAGCCCTGCCCCCGGGCGCAGAGCCCGCCCCGCCACACGCTTGTGCGCGCGCATACACACACGCACACACAAACACACGCGTGCGCGCACACACACCTAGATGCGGATCCGCTCGGAGGAAACTCACGCTTTTGGTGCAACTTAGGTGCCAGCTTCGTTTAGCGCTTCTCAATGATAGGGCTTCAGTTTGGAAGGAGTTGAGGACTTAGAGGGGGCTGGTGGACTCCGGAGGGACCCCAGAGGTCAGCTAACCCCGGAGGTAATCCTTGGAGGTCAACTGTTTGGTAAATAAAATGCTTCCTCAGGGCACTTCCGCTTCTTAACCTGGGAGTGGGTTGCCTTATCCTGACCCAATCAAAAGAAACAACAACAAAAATCAACAAGTTCTCTGTTTCCTGGGAAACCTTGTTAGCCTTCAAATGGTAAGCTCTGGGTGATGTAAACAGTTAGCAAGCTCGCTGCCACCTGAAAGGTTGTTGGTTCCGTGCACCCTGAGGTACCTCTGAAGAAAGGCCTGAGTGTCTACTTCCGAAAAATCAACCATAGAAAACTCTGTGGGGTGCAATTCTATGCTGACAGATGGAACCTCTATGAATTGGGGTCAATTATATGGCAACTGGGTTGGTTTTCGTTTAGTCTTTAAATCACCACTCCGTGTCCAGGGGAGCATTTCTGACAGCCCTGACTCCCCTCCTGGCAGGAGATTGTGGCTGTTCAAACGGAATTCTTCCAGTATGGTGAGGGAGACGACTAAGGGTTGTTAATTCCCATTCTTTGCTTTTAGGTGACTATTTTCGACAGAGAAGATAGACCACTTTTTAAAACAACGAAAACTGAGCTGAGGGGTGTTGAATGGGGACCAACATTGGCTAAGGTACTGTGTGACTAACTGTTTCTTCTCTTTTTATGATTTGCATGTCTACATGGGGCGGTGGTGGTGACACTATTTCAGGCATGTCACACCAGCAGCATGTGATATGTCCATTTTGCACTACATTTAACGTCATCAGTACTCATCTATAAAATATGTGGCGTTTACTAGTTTCCACGTCTGAGAATTCTTTTCCACCAGCAGGCAGTGAAGGTCCCCAGGCTAGGACTGCAGCCAAGAAAAACTTTCTGCAGAATGTAGAGGCGCCGAGGGGCCCTGAGTGTCTGGACATTTGGAGCAGAAGCTTCGAACATGAATGTCAAATAACTCTGAGACCTAGTGGTTGGTGTCCATATTGGGCTATCTGCAGACGGACCAATGTGACAGATGAAGAACTGAGAGTCAGAGGCCTCCCCAGGGTCCTACATGGCAATGAAGACAGAGGCAGTACCAGAACCCTGTGCTGATACTTCATTCTGCCATTCATCATTCATATTTAATTTTCTCACCCTGGGATGAGTTCCCTTCAGCTGGGCTGAAACAATACTGGTGAGGGCATACTCAAGTTTTGCTTTTCTTTTTCTTTTTGAATCTTTTCTTATTTCCCTTTCACATATGACACATTTATTCCACAAATGTTTATTAAGTTCCCACTATGTGTATGGCTAACATGTTCAATGGCTAATCTAAATGTTGGAAGTTCAAGTTTACCCAGAGGTGCCTCGTAAGAAAGATCTGGTGATCTACTTCTGGGAATCAGGCTTTTAAACCCTCTCTGGAGTGCAGTTCTACTCTAATATACATGGAGTTAGAATCTACTCAATGACAACCTTTTTTTTTTTTCTTTAAGTCCTTCCCCTATCACTTTCCCAATCCTGGAACTTACGAAAGAGGAACCCAAAGACAGAAAGGATTTTGAAATGTCCATATCCTTGATAGAGGAGAACACTGAAAACAGGCTTCCTATATATATGTTCAAGGAGCTCTGGTAGCCTAGTGGTTACGAATGGGACTGTGAACCGCAAGGTCAGCAGTTCAAAACTACCAGCTGTTCCGAGGGAGAAAGATGAGGCGTTATGCTCCTGTAAAGATTTACAGCCTTGGAAACCCTGTACTGGGTCACTATGAGTCAGAATCGACTCCACGGTACACAGCCACCCATCACCATATATATGTTCACTGTGTTGGTTTGAATGGATGGGAAAGATACAATCCTTGCTCTCTGAACTACATCTCTATAGAATAAAACAGATTCACATATGTGTAGCAATAAAAACTTTTTGTGAATTAAATGAAAGTTTACAGACAAGACCATCAGTTTTACATTCAACATATCATATGTTGTTTCATCTCAATGACTACAATCCCTTCCACGTAACAACAGTTATCTTGCTTCCTCCCTGTAGTTCCATTTCCATTTAACTCTCCTTCCCATCCCTTCTCAACTTTGTCCTTAGGTAAATGTTGCCCTTTTGATCATGAATGACTGAGCATTCCATGTCAAGCACACTTTGCTAGTATTGTTGTACCCCTGCATACCTATTTACTACTTGACTGAAAATTGGACCATTAGACTGAGTTCCGTTCCAGATCTGAAGGCCATAGTGGTTGAGGGCCATAGTCTTGGGTTCCTCCCATCTCTTTCTGACTAGTAATCCCAGTCCTTTTTTGCCCTTCTTTTTCTTTTTCAAAAATAATTTTTAGTTCCGTCCCATATTTCCCACTCTATCCAAAACTTTCTAATATGATCTCTAGGAAAAACATTCTTCTTGTGCGGATTCCTGACTCCATCTAAGAAAGACTAGAAAGAGAAAGAGCCTGTTTTTGACCAAGGATTGTGGTGGATTTGAGGTGCTTGTTCGCAGGTGGGAGTTGAGGCACATTGAATTATTCTGTCAAATAGAACAGGGAGTTGGTTAGGAGGAATGAGGTAGAGATAGAGGACTGAGATTGGACTTGGCTGGGAACACATTGAGGAGAGAAACTCTGAGGGCTGCCCAGCAAGTAATTGGAGAACATAAATGCTTGCAAAGCCTAGCAGTCTTTTTGGGGTGGGCAATGAAAGTCCCTGTTCTCCATCTTTCCTATGAAATAAATCATTACAAAATTCATATTGTTCATCAATTTGTGAGTTTCCCTTGGGGAAACTGAGATTGGGGCTGAGGTCAGCATTTAGGTTGATGAAGGGTGAACATAGAGAAGTCTTTGTGGACAGATGGTTGAATAGGTTGAAAGATGACTGACCTCAGGTTACCTTACATGCTGATGCTGTTGTTATTGTTAAGTAATACCTTTGAGTCAGTTCCGACTCATAGTGGTCCTGTATAGAGTTTCTGAGCAGCAGCTGGTGAATTTGAACCACCAACCTTGCAGTTCAAACTGACCTTGTGGTCCATTGCAGTATCCCACAGTGCCACACCAGGATGTTGTTGTTGTTAAATACCGTGGAGTCAATTCCGACCTATAGCGACCCTGTACAGGGTTTCTGAGGCTGTAAGTCTTTACAGGAGCAGAAAGCCTCATCTTTCTCCTATGGAATGGCTGGTAGTTTCGAACTGCCGACCATGAGTAGCAGGTAGGAAAACCATGAGGAAGAAAAGTAGAAGGAAGAAACACCGTAGAGGTGGTAGGATTTCTGATCTGATTTGAAAGGACAAGAGGGATTTGACACAAAGGAAAAGGACACTCTGAAAAGAACTGTAATCGAGTCAGTTCTGTCTGATGACAACTCTGACTCATATCAACCCCATGTATATGAAAATAGAGCTATGCTTCACAGGGTTTTCAATGGCTGTTATTTTGGAGGTAGATCTCCAGGTCTTTCTTCCAAGACACCCCTGTTGTTGTTAAGTGCTGTCGAGTCAGTTCTGATTCATAGCCACCTTGTATAGGGTTTCCCAAAGAGCTCTGGTAGCGAAGTGGTTACGAGTCGGGCTGCTAATCTCAAGGTTAGCAGTTCGAAACTACCGGCTGTTCCTCGGGAGAAAGATAAGACTTTCTGCTATCATAAAGATTTACAGCCTCGGAAACCCTATACAAGGTCTCTATGAGTCAGAACCAACTCTATGGCACACCACCACCACCATCACCGTAGGATTTCCAAGGAGCTGGTAGTGAGTTTGAATTGCTGATCTTGTGGTTCAAACTAACCTTGCTGTCCATTACAGCAGGACACCTCTGGATAGATTCAAACCATTAACCATTTGCACCACCCAGTAACTACTAAGGGCGTTCTGGATTAAGGGTAAAGCAAAAACTTGGAAGTTGGAATGTTTATGGTGAGTTTTAAACTCTCCATGGTTGTGACTGTATGGCAGAGAGTCCCAAATACCCTGCCAAGAATATGGACGTCACACTCCACAGAGCAAGGAGTCATTGAAGGTGTGCATTTGCTATTTTTTTGACAGGGAGAGTCTGGGAAACAAGCTGGAAAGTGTCTTAATACCAAAGCCTTCCCTGTAGGAATGGAGCACGGGGAGGACACTGGAGACGGAGATCTCACTGTCCTCAGGAGGAACAGAGTCCCACATGGAACCAATTACTCACAAAGCTGCCCAGGTGAGACATATGGCCCACAGTACAGGGCACCCAGCCAAGGGACTGAAACCCATGCTGGACTCTACTCGCCCACCTGTGCACCCTGGCAAAGTTGGGTCTGCCTGGAGTAAGGGGTGCCTTCGCTCTGATTTGAACAGAAGCTTTTGTAGGATACCAAGCAAGCATTCTGTGTGCTGAGGCTGTTCTTGAAAACTCTGGAGTCACAGTGAAACAAGTGAGGATTTATCTGCTGTGTGTCTAAACACAAGGTGACATGGAAAGAGTCTTTTCTTTTTTTTTTTTTTTTACTTTTTATTGTGAATTGAGTGAAAGTTTACAGACAAGATCAGTTTTA